GTTGGCTTGCGATGCGCTGTTTTCGTTGGTCCTGCGCGCGAGTCGTAGCTTCTCAAGCTCGACGTGTCGTTTCGCTGCGCAGGCACAGTGTTTCGTGAGCCTCTACGTTTGCGTTGGAAATACACTGGGATTCGCGTTTCCCGGGAGCTCGTTTTGAGGTGTTTTGCTTGGAACGCTCGCGCAAGCGTTTGCTCGAGCGTTGTTTTCGTTGGCGTTGTCGCACAATAACCTCGTTCTGACCTGATTGAAAGAACACCTTTCACACGTGTTCAAAGCCATTTCATTGGGGAAAGGTCTCGTGGTCACGAGCGACCCTTTTGCGCACTTTGGGCTCTCGCTGTGGCACAGTGCACGTGTTGAAACCCTGTGCGCACTTTGGGCGGGTCGAATCGCTCTTGCTGTTGCGCGGTGCACATTTTCAAAATGCAAAGCGAACCCTCTGCGCACTTTGGGTGGATCGACTTGCTCTCGCTGTGGCGCGGCGCACATGTTCAAAACGACCCTCTGCGCACTTTGGGCGTGTCGAGTCGCTCACACTGTGGCTTGGTGCGCATTTTGAGAACGCAAGGTGAGCCCTCTGCGCGCTTTGGCCTTGCCGAATCGCTCTCTCAGCGGCGCTTTGCACATTTTGAGACAAGAGACATGTCGAGCGACCTGTCTCAGAAGTGTCGCTCAGAAGTGTCGACCAGAAGTGTCGCTCAGACTTGTTGCTCAGAAGTGTCCGTCAGCAGAAGTGTCTACGAGAAGTGTCGATCAGAAGCGTCGCTCAGAAGTGTCGATCAGAAGTGTTGCTCAGAAGTGTTGCTCAGAAATGTTGACAAGCAGTGTGGAACGGAAGTGTTGATCACAAGTGTCGCTCAGAGGTGTTTTTTCAAAACTGTCGATCAGAAGTGTTGACCAGAAGCGCGGATCAAACGTGTTGCTCAGAAGTGTCGTTTAGAAGTGCTGCTCAGAAGTGTCAACCGAAAGTGATGCTCAAGAGTGTCGCCCGGAAGTGTCGATCAGAAGTGTTGCAAAACTGTCGATCAGAAATTTTGATCGGAAGTGTTGCTCGAAAGTGCCACAAGTTTCGATCAGAGGTGTGATCAAAAAGTGTTGCTCAGGGGTATCGCTCATTGCTCAGAGGCGTCGCTCAGAAGCGTCGCTCAGAAGCGTCGCTCAGATGTGTCGCTGAGATATATGTAGAAATGTCGCTCGAATTTACTGCTCGGCAGTGTTGCTGATGTGTGTGGAAATGTGGCTCAGACATGTCGCTCAAAGGTGTTTTTTTCAGAAGTGTCGCTCAGGAGTGCCGCTCAGTGTTGCCCAGAAGTGTTGTTCAGAGGTGTCGCTCAGACATGTCGCTCAGCAGTGTCGCTCAAAAGCGTCGCTCACATGTGGCGTTTGCGCTCAGAAATGTTGCTCGGAAGCGCGGACCAGAAGCATCCATCAAAAGTGTTGCTCAATACTGTCGATCAGAGGTGTCGGTCCGAGGTGTCGATCAGCAGTGTCGCATCAGCAGTGTTGCTCTGAAATGTGCGTCAGAAGTGTCGATCAGAAGTGTCGCTCAGAAGTGTCGATGAGCAGTGTGGTTCAGAAGTGTGGGCTAAAAAGTGTTGATGCGAACTGTTGATCAGAAGTGTGGATCAGAAGTGTTGCTCAGAAGTGTCAAGCAGAAGTGTGGTTCAGAAGTGCTGCTCAAAACTGTCGATCAGAAGTGTCGATCAGAAGTGCGGATCAAAAGTGCAGCTCAGAAGTATCGATCAGAAGTGTTGCTCAGAAGTGTCGATCGATCAGAAGTGTCGCTCAGAAGTGTCAACTGAGCAGCGTTGCTCAGAAGTGTCGCTCAGAAGTGTCGATGGGCAGAACTGTCGATCAGAAGTGTGGATCAGAAGTGTAAGTCAGTGTTGATCAGAAGTGTTGCTCAGAAGCGTCGATCAGAATAAGTGTGGTTCAGAAGTGTTGATCAGACGTGTCGCTCAGAAGTGTCAAGCAAAAGTGTTGCTCAGATGTACCGCTCAGAAGTGTAGCGCGCTGGAAAATCGCAACTTTGTAGTCCAAGTCTAGTGCGCGAAGTAGAGGTTTCCAGCTCTAGCTGAGAAGTCGCAACTTTTTGGCGCAAGTATGGTACACTAAGTGCAGGTTTCCAGCTTTAGCTGGAAATTGCAAGTTTGAAGTATAAGCCTAGTGCGCAAAGTACAGGTTTCCAGCTCTAGCTGGAAAATCGCGACTTCGTAGTACAAGCCTAGTGCGCGAAGCACAGGTTTCCAGCTCTAGCTGGAAGATTGCGACTTTGTAGTACAAGTCTAGTGCGCGCGCGCGCGCAGTACAGGTTTCAAGCTCTAGCTAGAAGTGAACACAAGTCTAGTACGCGAAGCAGCTCCAGCTCGAGAATCGCAACTTTGTAGTACAAGCCTAGCGCGCAAAGTACAGGTTTCCAGCGTCGCAACTTTGCAGAAGCACACGTCTGGTACGCACAGTACAGGTTTCCAGCTGGAGAATCACAACCTTGTGGTACAAGTCTAGTACGCGAAGCACAGGTTTCTGAAAAACCACAACTTTGAAGCGCAAGTCTAGTGCGCGAACTACAGGTTTCCAGCTCCAGCTCGAAAATCGCAACTTTGTAGTACAAGTCTAGCGCGCGATGCACAGGTATCCAGGTGTAGCTGAGAAACTTGATAGTACCAGTCTAGCGCGCGCAGCACAGGTTTTAAGCTCTAGCTAGAAGTGAACACAAGTCTAGTACGCGAAGCAGCTCCAGCTCGAAAATTGCGACTTCGTAGTACAAGTCCAGTACGCAAAGAACAGGTTTCTAGCTCGAGCAGCAAAATCGCAACTTTGACAAGTCTAGTACGCGCAGTACACGTTTCCAGCTGGAGAATCACAACCTTGTGGCGCAAGTCTAGTACGCAAAGCACAGGTTTCTGGAACATAACAACTTTGAAACGCAAGCCTAATGCACAAAGTACAGGTTGCCAGCCCCGGCTCGAAGATCGCAACTTTGTAGCGCAAGTCTACCGCGCCAAGTACAGGTTTCCAGCTCTAGCTGAGAAGTCGCAACTTTTAGTTTGTATTACAAGTCTAGTACGCAAAGCACAGGTTTCCAGCTCTAGCTGGAAAATCGCAACTTGTGTAGCACAAGTCTGGCGCGCGCAAAGTACGGGCTTCCAGCTCTAGATGGAAAACCAGTACAAGTCTAGTGCGCGAAGCGCAGGTTTCCAACGCTAGCTGGAAAATCACAACGTTGTAATCGACAATCGCAACTTTGTAGCACAAGCCTAGTATGCAAAATACAGGTTTTCAGCCCTAGCTGCAAAATCGCAACTTTGTAGCGCAAGTCTAGAAAGCGAAGTACAGGCTTCCAGCCCTGGCTGGGCAATCGCAACTGTTTAGCGGAAGTCTAGTGCGCAAAGTACAGTTTTGCAGCTCCGGCTGGCAAATCGCAACTTTGTAGTGCAAGTCTAGCGCGCGAAGTGCAGGTGTCCAGCTCCAGCTCGAAAATCGTAACTTTGTAGCAACAAGTCGAGTACGCAAAGCACAGTTTTACAAGCTGAAAAAATAGTTTGCGCAGTTGACTTGGTTGCGAGCCCCACTGGCTTATATCGAAACATGTTCTCTCTAGTTATATTCTTGGGTTTGAGCAAAGTTCATGTGGGCTCTGACTTGCTCAACATCGCCTGACAACCACTTGCTCCAAAGTCACAATTTTTCGGCGTGTCAGGGAGGCTTAGCGCACCCCGCCCTACGTCGCGGCAATTTGACGACGTTCCGCTGTTTTTCGTCTTCGGGGAGCCGGTGTGCAAAAACAGGAGCGGACCCTTCTGTCGGCTCTCTCCCGGCTTGGGTCTTCCGCTTCTTTTGCCGAACAAATTGAAAACATACTGTTTTCTTCGACCTCCTTGTAGCGAACACGTTGAAAACTAGAGCCCTTGGACTAAATTGCAAAGAGTGCTTACACAGAGTGCGAAGCGCAAAGAGCCAAGACGCTCAGCGTCGGCAGCTGTGTAAATAAAGCTTGTAGAGAAGATACTTACCGTGCGTGAAAGAAAGAAGGAAAGAAAGAAACAGAAAGAGCTCGGCAAAAAGAATCTTCTTCTTACGGGGGGGTGGTTGATGTCATCGCTCAGGATTGCGACTCTCTGAGCAGATCGGCGTGGCCGATGTCAGCAAACTGCGGACTTTTTACGGCTTTTGCGGCAATATTTATGCGGAGATTCGCGTGGTCGATGTTCAAAAACTAGGGACTTTTTGCGATATCGGATCTGCGCGTGTGACCCTCTGCGGAGATCCGCGTGGTCGATGTTGAGAAAATCAGGACTCTTTAAAGTTTCCGCTGCGCGCGCTCGACCCTCTGTGGAGATCCGCGTGGTCGAGGTCAAAAACCTTCGCCCTTTTTAGGATTTCTGCGATCTGCGAGCGACCCTCTGAAAGGATTGCGCGTGTCAAACCGCTCTCGTGGCGCCTTTCCAGTTTCTTGCTCACGACATGGCCTTTGGAAGTTGTCTCAAGGTTTGCAGCGCCTGCTTTCGCAATCGCGCGGTGGCGGGTTCGCTGCAACTCTTCATGAGGCAAGCCCCTTTTTTCTTGTCCTCGAACGGCATCTGCCCCCGCTGCCCATCCTGAGCCAAAATAGCTGTGTGAAATGCGCATGACTCAGAATGTTATTGGCCTCGTGGAATTTCGGGTAGGTTGCTAAGACACGTTCACTGCCACAGTTGGCAGCGCTCTTAGCTAGAAACGGCATCCCTTCCGTTCTACATCTTCCAAGACTGTCGAGACACCGAGCCCCGTCTTCAGGCCGTGCTGCGACGCATCATTGGCCGAAGGAGATAGGGGCCGATGACCGCGGGGCCCGCGCCAAAAGACACACTCCATCCAAGAAGCTGATTAGGAACCTTGACTTGGAACGACGCCCAAACGACAGGGCCCCCTCCTGCCCTGTTTGCTCATGATGTAATACCCCAAACAGCCAAGCCAGATCATATTACTTCCGCAACCCAGGAATGCTAGGCAATGCTGAATGGGACATTGGCACGCTCAGTGTTTTGCTAAACCCTCTCTGATGTCGGCAGGAGCTGATCCTACAAGGCGGAATCAGCAGCTGATTCCGGGTAATTACGGTTGTAAAGCATCAAGATGCGATAGTGTACACCAGCGTGCGAGGCTCAAGCTGCCACCCAATCCTGCCAGTGAGGACACAGGGAATGACAAAAAGACAGCCGCAATCAATCTCCACATCGACAAACCATCTAAAACATGCGACGATGAGGAACGAAGTGTTGCGGCTCCACACAATCTTAGCAAACCCTGGTGACACGTGGCATCAAACAGCTTTCGTTGGTAAGGGGGCAACTTCCTCGTCCTGCATCCTTTGCGTTTTGGGGGCGCTCTTGGGTCGCGCCTTGTCACTTCGTTCGCAGCTCCTGCTTCAGGGCAACCTCAAAAAAGAGTTCGCAGCAGAGGTGACCCGGGGGTGGCTCTGTGAAAAAATGCCGACCCAGCACGCAACGTCGAGCGATGTTGCTTGGATTGGCAAATTAACCCAGGTCAGTTGTTTCAAAAGTCATGCGCTAGAACAAAACTGATTGGTGTTTGAGCTTTTCTTCTCCGCCGCTAGCCAAAAACTTTCGCACGGCGCGCGTTGAAGCTTCCTGACCTGACTTCCCCGCTTTCGTCTTTCGGACATGGGGCTTTGCTTGTCATGAATGAGGCATGTCATTTTGACACCAAACCTCCGTAGCAACAAAACGCAATCTGACACTTTAGCGCCCTGGTCCCCTACATGGCTTCCCTCCAAGCATCCCCGTGAAGAACGGGTCTGTCCTTGCCCTACTGTGCGAAGCTTTCCCCAGCCTCTCGTAGCAAGGCGTGCAGCTTCTGTGCTAAAGCCTGAATCAGGCGGGCCAACAAAGGCTTCACTCGGCCCTCCCATTTTTATGTAACCCTTCAAAGCTCAACCCGGCGCCTCGCGGGTCTAAACGAACCCCCTCAAGTCCCTTGGTGGGAAGCCCCGCTTCCATTAAAGCTACCTACGTACAATCTTGCAACGCCAATGGTTCTTGTTGTTGGCGTCCTAGCACGAGCAATATGTTCATGCATCCCTTTGAAGGGAAGTTGCTGCATGTGTTGCGCCCGAAACGCCATAAACGCCGCCAACCAAGTCAAAGTCAAACGATGCTTCTCTAGGACACTGCTCAATCCCATTTGCCTGCCATAAGCCAATGACACGGGAGACTATCCCAGCAGATTTGGATCATCGGTGGGTCCGCGAAACCAATGGCTGAGAAGCGCGCTGGCGTCAGCATGTGATTCGCAGCAAAATCAGCAGCAACCTCGCTGATGCTCTGGCCCTGTCACGGGTGTGCGCTGATGGCGTGCACCGTTTTAAGGGTATCCAGCATCTTTAATCAGGCAAGATATCTGCAAAGGGAGAGACATCACGAAGAAAGTTGAACCACCAAAGTATTGCTTGCTAGTGCATCTGAAGAAGGTTCTCAAGCAAGCACAACAAAGGACAGGTAATTTTTCGGCGTTGGTGTTGCTGATGCGACGAACAAGAACAAGAGCCGTAGAACGACGCCGCTACCTATTCAATCTGCACATCCGAGGCCTGCGTCCGTGCACAAAAAACATCACAAAAACAGGTCAATCAACATGAACCACTTTGGCCAGCCAGTTTCGCGAGATTGCCTGGAAAAGGATGATCCGCTTTGGCGGCTGCCCGGGCGTGATGTTTACATCCACCTCGGAGGTCTCACAAAGCTGGCAACCCACAAATCAGTTTGGTCATGAGCAAAGGTCTATTGGTGAAGATGCAGGCGTCCTGCCGAAAGGTAAGTTCAGGCTTCCGCGTTCAGGTTGCGATGGGCAAGCAGAAATGAGGCAGCTTCCCAATGCTCGTGCTGAAATCTCAACGAAGTGTTCAACTTGGGTTACGCGTTTACCTTCTCTGAAAGATCCAGGAGCGTCCCAGTTGCGTATAGCATCGGCTGGTCGTCGGGCAGCTCCTGAACCGTCTGCGAAAGCAACCTTAAACGCAACGCCCCATCACGCCTCTGCATTGCCTTCGGCGTTGTCAGGTGCGCCTGACGCTTAAAAAGTGGGGAGGATCACACGCACACACACACACACACACACACACACACACGCACACACGCTGTGCTCATGGCTCTCCCAAGGGTCAAGGCACGGCCTATAGTTGGTCTCATCAACCAAGCAAACTCCCGTGCTTTACTCAGCTGAAAGCGTGGACAAAAAAGATCCTTTCGGCTTGCCCTCGCCGTTTTACTTCTGGGCGCGAGCCCGCAAGCCAGAGTCAAGTTTGCAAAAGGGGCGACGGCAGTTGCGTAGCATGTCATTGCATCTTAAGGTCAGGAGGGACGAGTTCTTGAGAAGTGGCAGGCGGCAAAGGAAATCCGCACGGGACACGCTTGCCCAGAAAACCATGCAACCTCCACCCGCGGAATTCGCCAGCTTCTTGCAGCGGCGAATTTGGGCTCAAACCCACGCAAGGCTGCATTCGCCCATTGGCACACACGTGAAAGCAGAACAAGCTGGATGTCGCTTGCTATGCTCGCAGCCGCCTGGAAGTTTTTCACAATTCTATAACAACTCTCCCATGTGCGTATGGGTACGCTCGTCTGTCTGCACACATGAGTGTGTGTACGTATGTGATATGAACACAGGTGTAGTTGGTATGTAAGTAAGGCATGTAGGTACGCAGGTACGCAGGAATCCATGTTTGTGCACTGGGTAGGTCGGAAGGTGTGTAGTTGGTATGTAGGTAAGGTATGTAGGTATGCTGGTACGTAGGTATCCATGCTTGTGCACTGGGTAGGTCGGAAGGAAGGAACGAATACAGCAGCGAATGAACCAACAAATGAACCAAGGAAGGCAGGAACAATGGACGAGCGAACAAACGAACCAAACAAAGAACGAACGGGTCGAAGGGACGAATGAACGAATACAGGAACAGGGAAGGAAAGAAGCAAGGAAGGCAGCAAGAAAGGAAGGGCAGAACGTTGGACTGGCAGCAGCCTTTCGCAGCTGCAGCCAGCTCAGGAGGCATCTTGGATGCCCCAGGCTCTGGCACAGCAGGCAGTCAGAACCCGCTTGACCTTCTGAGCACCTTTCTAATAAATCGCCCTGCGGGCATGTCGAGAACACTTCCGCACCTGCAGCGGGCTCCGCGCGCGCGCGAGTTCACAGTCAGTTCTAAATCGGATGCGCCGTGGCCTGAGCTTGTTGAGAACAGCCAAGTTCATGTTGTCAGAAACTGCGCGCGCGAAACCGGCCAAAACAGGCTCAGCCTTACTCTAAGTAGCCGAAGCCCGGGCGGTCTGCTGCGCAGCGTGTGTGGCCGGCACAATTCAGCGCCGCCGGCTTCATTTTGAAGAAGCCCTCTGCTGTGGCCAAACTGCCCAACTGCCCAAGCCCACCTGCTTGGAAGGATCATCTGAGTCTCCGTTGCCTCGTTTGGCTAAGGTCTTGTTTCAGGGGCTGAGCCGACCTTCGCTTCAAGCGCCCACCCCCCACCCCGCCCCGCCCAGAACGCAGCGGGGTTTTGGAAAAGTAGCAACAGCGGCTAAAGATAGCCACTACGCGTTTCACCTAAGGCTTGGCACTTGGCAAGACTACTGGCTGAGGCGCTACAGAAACTCGGCTTTGTCAGGCTCAAGTCAGAACCGAACGTCTACACCGGCGCCGCTCGGGGCTGCTATCATGGTCTACGTGGACGACCTGTTTGTACTTGGCGACAAAACTACTGTCGACTCCACCTGCGAGGCAACCCAAAACTACTCAAGCACATTGGCTTGGCAAACCGCACCAAGTTCTGGGAAAAAACGTACAACACTTCGGCCACCGCTGCAATATTGGACTTCCAGATTCCTAGACCAACAACATAGAACCAACAACGACACTTAAAGCAAACACAAGCAACCAGGAGGCTCCGAGTCCCAAGTTACCTTTGGCTTTTTGGGCTAAGGTGTCCTTGGCCAATTGCGCTCGTTGCCGAACGGCCGTGATAACTTGCGCGGGAAACTGAAAGGCCGTTACTACTCTGAGAAAAACCCTTGAAAGCTCTGGAATTTTCACGCTCTGAGTTATCTTGTCCTCACGACACCAAAAACCTTCTTACACTGCTTTGACTTTGGAAGAATTTCAACCACTGAGCGCGAAGGTCGATGTCCAACCACACGCGACAAAGCACAGCGTGCCGGTGAGACGCATTCCAGGAGATGTGAGAAGACCGTTTTACGCTACAACGGTCTTCAACGCCGCACAGGAAGAAGCGTTTTCACTGCTTTCACACCACGGAGTTCCGCACGACAACAAGGACCATTGGCGACTTCATCGTTGCTCTCCGGACTACTGCCGGACTACCTCAACTCGAACAGCGTGAGAGTGAGAGTGAGTCAGTGAGCGAGCGAGGGAGTGAGGCAGAGAGTGAGCGAATGAACGAGTTGGAGTGAATGAGGGGGCAGGCAAGTGCGTGAATAAGTGACTAAGTGAGGGCGCGCGTGAGTCAGTGAGTGAGTGAGTCAGTGAGCGAGTCAGTGACCCGAGCTCACACTCACACTCCCTCGCACTCACACTCGCACTGGCTTACTCTCCCTCTCACTCGCACACTCTCCCAAACTCTTTCACCCAATCGCCCCGGTGGGAAGAGAGTAGTGAGAGTGTGAGTGAGTGTGGGTGAGTGTGAGTGAGTGAGCAAGTTGGTGAGTGAATGAGTCAGTGAGTGAGTGAGTGAGCGAGCGAGTGAGTGAGTGAGTGAGAGAGTGAGTGAGTGGGTGGGTGGGTGGGTGAGTGAGTGTGCGCCATCACACTCCAAACGTCGAGCCAAGAGGTAAGGGGGAGATTGCATTCGGGTTCGTGGCTTTGAGAACATGTTGTCTTTTCGCCTGCCAGAGTGGGATTTAGATCGGTTGTCTGTCACTTTTGAGTTTACTCAAAGTTTGTCAGGACTTGGCCAGCGTGCCAGAAAGTTGAACCCCACCAAGAAGCGCTTTCAGCCCTCCTCCCTCTTGTTTTGCACGTTGCCCTGGCGTGGAAGTGGCAATTGCTGCGCTGACTGTGCGTGCCACAGGGGGTTGCGAAAGTCAACAGCTCACTGTGTTTGGCATCACGCTGTGAAGGGTGACAAAGTGACTCGATGCAAACTCATGCAGCGACAAGAGCACGGCCCACTGCCGTCGAAGACTCAATCGCAAAAGAGCCCAAAGGATACAGGAAGCACGGGCGCAAGCGAGGCTAGTCTGTCTGACAATATGTGTGTGTGTATGTGTGCGTATGTAAACCTACATGCGCATGGATACGCTTGTATGTGTACGGGTATGTCTATGAGTGTGTGTATGTGCTTAAGGATCTATGTTCCCATGTTTCGATGTAATTATGTACGTACGTGTGTATCTATGTCTCTACGCATATGTGTAACCATGCGTGGGCGCATGTCTTCACTGTGTATGTGTTTGCATATGTGTGTGGTTGACTTGCGCCTATGTGTATGCATATGTCTGTGTGTGCGTGTACGTGCGTATGTACGCATTCCGCATGTACGCATGTGCGCACGTATGCATGTGCACACGCATGCGTGCATGTACGTGCTGATGCCCGCGTGTGTGTCCGCACGCGTGTGTGATGTATGTGTAACTGTGTGTATAAATGTGTGTGTGTGGGGCTATGTGCACATCTGTGTATATGTATATGCGTGTGTGTGTGTGTGTGTGTGCGAATATCCGTGTGTGCATATGCTTATGCATGCGCATACGCAGATGTAAATGCACATGTGCAGCGTGTGTGTGTGTGTGCAAGTGTGTGTGTGCACATGTGTGCACATACGCTTGTATGCACGTGCGTGTGTACGTTTGTGTGTGCACAGCTGTGTGCGCATGCATGCGTGCATGCATGTATGTGTATGTGTATGTGTGTACGTGTGTATGTGAGTGTGTGTGTGTGTACGCATGTGTGTGTACGTGTGTGTTGCACATATGCGTGTGTGTGTGTGTGCACGTGTGTACGTGTTGCGCTCGTGTCTGCGTGTGTGCGTGTGTGTGCGTCTGCGCGCGCGTGTCTACGCATACGTGCGTGTGCGTGTACGTATGTGTGCGCGCGTGTGTCAAAACGCGTGTTGGGAGTGTGTCTGCCTTGCTGTCTGCGTGCACGCATGCGCGCGCGTGCATTTGCATGTGTGTGTGTTGTATGCATGTATGTGTGTTTGTCAGGGGTGGCTCTGAGCTATAACGTATGAAACACACTGCGCTCCCTGTCATCGATTTCAGGCTGCGTCGCAAGCGTGGCAACCTGCACCCCCAGACTCAGGCCCCACCTTCTGCGGGCGCCCCCCCCATTCCTGAACCACGGCAAGGAAAACTCGTCAGCGCGCATCCCTCCAAAAAAGAAAGCTGACAGGCCAGCGCCGCAATCAGGGCAATTAGTGAGAGGCTGGTGGACACGCGTCCGCTTCCGCTGGCTCCGCCCTCTCGCTCCGCGCCTTCTCTCTCATCCTCAGGCTCCTGCCAAACATCTCTGCATTCCCATTCGTTCAGTTTGTGAGCACCAGCCCACTTTAGTTCGCGCTCCGCTCTCCACCCGTCCTTTGCCTCTGGAGGAAGGCTGCTGCTGCGCGGGGGTGTGTAGCTCAGGCGCTGAGCTGGCGAGGCACGCAAATGTGTATTGCGCGCGGGCGTGCGGACGTGCGTGCGCTCGCGCGCCAACGGGCGGGCGGGAGTTCCGTAGCTGTGTGTGTGTGTGTGCGTGCGTTTGTTTATGTGCTTGCGTGGTTGTTTGTTTGTTTGATTGTTTGTTGGTTTGTTTGCTTGTTCTTTCTCTGTCTGCCTGCCTGCCTGCCTGTCTCTCTGTCTGTCTCTCTCTGTCTGTCTGTCTGTCTGTCTGTCTGTCTGTCGGTCAATCAGTCGGTCTGTGCGCTTGTTTGTTTGCTTCATTGTTTGTTCCTTTGTTTGCTTGCGCGTGTTTCTTTGTTTGGTTGTTCCCGCATCTTCGCGCGCTGTCCGCTGTCCGCCGTCCGCCCGCCGCGCCGCCACCGTCCGCCGTGCACCACTCACGCACTCACTCACTCACTCACTCACTCACTCACTCACTCACTCACTCACTCACTCACTCACTCATTCACTGACTCTTTCACTCGATCACTCACTCATTCACTCACTCATTCACTCACTCACACACACACTCACCCACTCACTCATTCACTCACTCACTCACTCACTCACTCACTCACCCACCCACCCACCCACTCACTCACTCACTCACTCACTCACTCACTCACTCACTCACTCACTCACTCACTTAATGTGTTTGCGAAGCCGGGCAGCATTTGGCAGCTGTCTAAAATCATCAGGATGTTGTCGCGCACGCAGCTCAGGGTGCACAACATCGCGGCAGGCCTAGCACTTTTGGGGGTGCCATTGCCGAAATCGTCGCAGGGGCAGCATTCTGTGCATCTAGGTGTGTGTTTCTGTGGCAGGGGCAGCCGTCTACAGGGACACGATGTTGTCGCGCGCCTGGCTTGGGGCACGCGAAATCGTGGCAGGCGCGGCACTTTGGAGATACCATTGCCGAAATCGTGGCAGGCGCAGCGTTTTGTGCATGTGGGCGTGTGTTTCTGTGGCAGGGGCAGCTTTTGGCAGCGGCTCGGGGCACGCGAAATCGTGGCAGGCGGAGCACTTTGGAGATGAAATCGTGGCAGGCGCAGCGTTTTGTGCATCTGTGCGTCCGCCGTCCGCCCGCCCCGCCACCCACCGTCCACCATCCGCCCGCCCCACCACTCACTCACTCACTCATTCACTCACTCACTCAGTCACTCACTCACTTGCTCACTCACTCACATTGACTCACTCATTCACTCACCCATTCACTCACTCACCCAGTGTGTTTGTGTGGCCGGTAAACGGACAGCGGCTTGGGGCGCGCAAATTCTTCGGGCAAGTTCTCCCCATTCAGCGCACAGCGCACGCTGGCTTGCGAAGTGCTGGTCAGATTGAAACGATTCAAGTTGTGAGGGGCGATGGAAGCATAGCCACTCATGTTTTCTCTTCGCTTGATGACTGGGCAGCATTGTTGCTATCTGACTCTCGGATTAGCGCCTCGGGAGCGTAACGGCCAGCGCTAGTACGCCACTGTCTGTTTGCCTTCAAGGCCGCTTGCTTTTGACACGTGATAGCTTTCAGCACGCAAGGCCAATAAGACTCGGGCTCCAATCCCGCCGCCCACTCACTCGCTCGCTCGCTCGCTCACTCACTCACTCACTCACTGACTCACTCACTCACTCACTCACTCACTCACTCACTCACTCACTCACTCACTCACTCACTCACTCACTCACTCACTCACTCACTCACTCACTCACTCACTCACTCACTCACTCACTCACTCACTCACTCACTCACTCACTCACTCACTCACTCACTCACTCACGCACGCAGTCACGCCCACACACTCACTCACCCACTCACGCGTTTCTTAATAAGCATAAACATGTGGGGTTATCCGGTCCTTTAGTTTGTTTCTTTTTTCCCGCTTGCTTGTTTGCTTGTTTGTTTGTTTTGTTGGTTGGTCGCTTGGCAGGTTGTTTGTATTTTTTGTTCTCTTGTTTGTTTGTTTGTTTGTTCGTTCGTTTGTTTTTGTTAAAGGACACTGAACCCACTGCGCGCCGCTACTGTCAGGACTGTCATGCAACTGCATGGCTCAAGAGTACTGCTTGTCAGAGTGCATGGACCTTGTTTGTCAACACTAGCACTGCTACTTTACATGGCAGCGGGCACTGGAGCCAGGGCACTGCTTGTGAGAACCGTGAGCAGTAATGAGTGTTTTTGGAGATAGAGCAGGACTGCGAGAACTTTTCCGGTTGCCGCGGCCAGACAAGTTCGATGGCTCACTGCAGAAGTGGGAAGACTGGAGCTGGTAAGTGAAGTCTTTCGCGACACTGTGCAAGAGCCAAGCGCTGACAGCGATGGAAGAGCGTGAGCCACGCACTACTGCAATCACTGATGAAGCGGTTACCAGAGCTGAGGCGGCACTAGGTGACGACGAGTTAGGACTGGTAGCTGTCTCTCGGCAACTGCACTATCTGCTTGCCAATTTAACAACTGACAGTGCAAGACTGGCTGTCACAGGAAATGTTGGAGCAAACGGTTTCCAAACATAAGCCTTCCTACCAGACTCCTTGAACACCGCTTCAGAATTGACCACGCCAGACTGACTTCAGTAAATAAAAAGCCCTAAAGAACAAGTACGAACGACAGACTGGCACAGCACTGCCAGACTCCGTGCTTGTGGCCACACTACTGAACAAAGCGACAGGGCCACTGCAGCAGTACATCCGACTCAACGTCAGAACGCTGGGACACATACGCTACTGTGCAGCAAGTGATCATGTAATTTTACCAGAGCAGGCACTTTGCAACTGCTCGGTCATCACTGACGGCCCAGAAAGGAAAAATGATGAAAGGCGGCTGTAAGGCATGGGAAGGGAAAGAAAAAGGAGACTATGGGAAAGGGAAAGAAGTCTCTGGTGCGTTGGACGACAAGGCCACACAGCACAGCAAGAGAATGCCGCACTGTAGGAGCAATGACTGATGGATATGATGAGGTAAGTGCAACTAAGGACTTCTGTGACGACTGGTTCTGGGACAACGGCACCGACGCAGTCTGTCCGGAGCTCAGCCTGCCGCAGCGCCAAGCGGCACTGCACACGTGGGAGCTGCCCCGGCCTAGACGATCCACTGCCGCAAAACCAAACTGATACTGACGCTCGTCGTAACAGTTTGTGAGAAGCGAAGGTTTGACCACTGATCCTTCCATGAAGGACTGGTTTCGCGCACTGGCCCGCAAGAGAGAAACCCGAACAATCTCCCTTCTCTGTCGGCATTGAGGCCTAGCGAGTTTGACTGTCACTGGGTCGACTCAGGCGCTGCGGCACACTGTCCACTGGATTGCGCACCAGAGTCTCCACTCAGCACTAAACAGCAGCACTGGTAAGCCACTGAACATCATAGGACGGAAGCTGATCATGCATGACTTTGGCAAACCTGTGACTGATGTTCCTCAGTAAAAATACACTGCCGGTGAGGAGGTATGGCACACTGCTGTACCTCACCCCACAACTGGTCAAAAGTTACATTGGCGGCAACTGAATCCAAATTTGTGGCAATTGAGCCCAGCTTCAGGCAAAAAACAGACGGCAAAGATATAGGGGGACGCTTTGCTTTTTGTTCGCAGCGCGTCTAACCTCTGTTGGCCCAGCCTGACAGCCTGAGCAGCATTTCTAGCTGGGAGAAATTGAACTGGCCAAGAAGCCTGGAACCAGCGAGCACTTTGAGCCAAACAAAAAGGGAACACGTTATGCGCTTTAAGCTCTTTAAATCACTTCAAGGGTATCGAGGTCTCTTCGCGCGCTTGCTTGTTTTCTTAAGAACGGCACATGACTTTTCAGAAGACAAAAGGGACCGGGTGCGTTTTGTGTTCAAGCGCCTTTTCCCCAAGAAGGTCACATTGCCACCAAAAGGCCACTCAGAACACTTTCTCCTTTGCAAAAATTCCCACTACCAGGTTTCAAGAACTTACCCAGCAGCGCACGGGTTTGTTTCCGAAAAAAAGGCAACTTTTTCCAAGAAGGCTCTTAACCAGGCCCTTTTGCGAGGTATTTGTCCGGCACACACACACACGCCCACTTGTCCGAAAGAGGCCCGGCAGTGACAAGGCGTTGTTACATCTGTTGAACCTAGTGCCTTTTTGGTATGCGAAACACTTCCAAAAGAAACCAAAAAGTCACTAGGCGCCTTCCGTACGCAATGGGGATGGGTCTCTGACCTGGGATAGGTTGAGCCAGGTCGGATTTCAGAAGACCAACTACAAGATACTCAAGATGTCATAGGCGCCGTCCAATCGGAGCTCTGGGTAGGCCCTGTCTAGCCTCAGTATGTGCTATAATTACTAGTAAAATTAGCCGGTGGTGCGGAGCGCACGTGTGAGAACAGCTGTCACTGATACTCTTGCAACAACTTTTGTTAGCTGACTTTGTGTGAAAAACAGACAATAGGCACTGCGGATTCTGTGTGACTGTGCAGAATACATTTATTTGCAGTAAATTACATGTTGCCAAAACGTAACTACTGTTTACAATCCAGAAAGTGATCTACTGAAATTATTGCAAGCACAGATTGTTACATCCCATTGACTGACTAAATCTGGTTGATCAATGTCAATCTAATATCTAACTAGTTTCCTTGATCATTCACTCACTAACTTAATACAATACATGCAAGTAAAACTCCTGGTGAGTGGGTGTAACATACTTGTACTGATCAGCGAGCCTAACTTGCAACCTATGAGGAGTTCCATGGAAATAAAACCGTAAGTGCGTCCCCACATACCTGTTCTGCAAAAAACTTGCTCTAACACAACAATCATTGTGTCTACATCACTAGTTGTGACTCCCCATGCTCCTGTGGAGACTACGAAATGGCCACACCACATAACATTCATATGCCTGCGACAGTGGCTGAGGTCTGCCTGCGGGGTAACTTATTACTAATAATCTAGCCATTAACAACATTCAATTCTACATTGGCTGGCTCCTGTGAACTGTCTGTTGAGCCAGAGATGAATTTACCGCGCAATCTAAGACTTTAA